ATCTTCTGACGGAACTCACGCAATCGGCGAACTGCAAGAAGCTGCTGGCTCCCTAGCAGTTCCAACTTAGGATCATTTAAGCGGCCGCTGGTAGTTTTCCTTTAACAGCCGGTTCATTAAATTTCCTCGATCTTTGCCCATCGCCTGGGTACGTCATCAAAGAAGGTGGACGGAAAACACCGTTCCAAGCTCCGCATCCCTGAGGGGGGTCTTCACGAGCTAAGGACGCATGTTTATGTATACGACTGCCCCAAAATGGGCTCTGCTGGATCTTCTTCCTAACTCCAAGGGCTTTGGAAATTCGTTGCTCAATCCTTCGTGGCCCTTTTGGTGTGTTTCTGGGCTCTCCGCGTGGCCCATTATATTTTCTTGGTTGTGCCGCTACCAAAATATCCTTAAGAGGAGAGATCATCTAATGGGTCTCAAGAAAAGCCTCTCCATCAGGAATGGGCTTAGAGCCCAAATTATCATATGGATTGGGCTTAAGCCATTGAGGCCCATCTGCCTTTTGGCCCAAATTCTCCACTCCCTTGTCAGCTATCATCACGAGGCTTCCCACTGGCTCCGACTTTCGCTCCGGTACTCTCTCCTTCACCTCGGTCCACCGCGGCTCCTCCGCCGGCATCACTGGACAGGTTCATGCCGGCAGCTCCTCCGCCAGCTGGTCCCACTTCCGATTTTGCACCAAGACCGCCCTTGCAATCGCTGCATCCTCCTCCGTCGCCGGATACCAGAACGGACGAGCCTCGTCTGGAGCACTCTCCGACGGTGCAATCTGCTGGGACGAGTGGTGGCGCCCCTCCTTGTCCTGTTGTCGGTCCGTATTACGCCCAAACGCCTTGCGAACCCACTCACTGGTGGAGGCTCGTTTTTCAAATCGCCGGTCACCAGCCTCGGTTAGTTCTAGCATCAGGTCCCTCTGAAGCGGTTTCGGTTCAGCAATTATGACCGAGGCTCTGTCCCTAGGCTTGGTTCTCCCATCAGCCCGATTCTCTTTTGCCTTCGGATAGTCTCCTCGAGTCGCTCGTTGCCTCTTCCGGTCTTCCTCAGCTTCCCGCTGTGGTTGTTGCTTTGGTGGATGCCTCAGTCTCATTCCCCTATTGGGGCAGCTTCTTGTCTCGTGTGTCATACGCAGGCATCGCTTGCAATGATTCTGGAGCTTCAAACATTCGAAGTTGATTCAGAACAACTCACCGGAATCCGATAGTGTTTCCCGATACAAGGGAATTGGTTCATCGCACTACACAAAGACCCGAATCAACGGAAAAGGCGCACTCGCCTTCCAACTCTTAAGATCCCCAAGATCCTCACCAATACGCTTCACTTGATCATCTTCACAAAGATATGGAGGGAGGTCCATAATCTTGATCCAAAAAGGGATTGTGTTCGGAAAATCCTTCCTCACCGTCGGCTTCCATCTCTCAAGGGCAATCATCCATCCGTCAAAATGATATGGGCGATTGTCAAGAACCAAGTGAAGAGTAGACTCCTCCTCAAAACGGATTTGAAAGCTCCCTCTGCCCATCTCAAGTCCTTGTGCCTTCCCCTCACACTTCCAAACCGAAGGAAGGAAAGCAAGCATCACCTTCACTCGAGCCTCCGAAATCTCTGGGTTGAGAACTCTGCCCACCAATGTATTCTCAAACTTCTTGAGGACTCGGTCCATATTAACCGGAGGAAGTTGCAGCGGTTTGGGTCTTTGTCCCTCTGTCTCCGGCGCCAACAGTTTCCCAAAGAAGGCCATGTGAATTGTCCGCAAACTCCAAGTAAAATCTCTGCTCAAAAGAAAGTTTGTGAATGGGGTTAATAACTTTGTGTTTTGAACGGTTCTAGATCGCGACTGCATATATAGCCTCAGCCCCAACTCTGTCTTCTCCTCCAAATCTCGTTGGGATTTGGAAAGGATTTGTATAAATCCCTTGATTAGAGGCCAATCCTCCAGATTTGAGTCTCTTGATTGTATTAATCCAGTAGTATGATTGAGATTTGATTGGGATTGGGATCTCCCGTGAATTGAATAAGTTCGTCTTGCCCTACTGTGGAGGCTCCTCCTTGATTCAGTTATGGCAATAACTGAGGGATCCTCAGATCCTATCAATCCTGTCACATTCTCATCTCCCCGATCCGCAGATCTTCCCAAATCCTTGTCATTATGTCGAGTACACAATCCAATCGGGATCGTTTGTGTAGCCGTACATCTTCTCTAGCCGCCTGTGAGGATCGTACCAAACACGTCGCGACCCCAAGGCCACCGGAAAATCAAACGCCTAGCCATACAACGGAACATCTTATATACTTTATTAATTAGTTTATTATAGAATAATTTAATTTTAATATAAGATATACTTTTAATATACTTGATCAC